GGCCCTGCAGAGCCGTCCAGCCCTCTGCAGCAGGCAGGGCAGGGCGGTGGTGTGTTGGGTCCCAGGGCATTGGGTGACGCACCCAATTGCCCTCCACCACCAGCCGGAAGGCTGCTGGCTTGAGCCTGCCCCTGCTTCTGAAGAAAGGCCTGGCTTTCCCACTCCCTCAAGCCTGCCTGTGGGCAGGCCTGCCCTGCAGCGCCACACACCGCCATGGCTTCGTCCCCCAGAGTGACCGCAAGGTGCAAATGACTGACCTTTCGGTTGGCACCTACGGCTCCACCAGGGTCCTGCTGGGGAAGCGGGGCTGGGGACAGAGGGTCAGTGATGCCCGGGGGCGGGGAGCGTGCGCTGGGGAAGGAAAAGGGGTCCCGTCCCTCCGGTGGTGGCCTCGTCTTCCGTCCCTCAGCTGCCCTCGTCTCCTCCCCGTGCTTCAGATAAAGCGCCCGTCCGTCACCTCCTTCATTCTGGACACGGAGGCCGTGGCGTGGGACCGGGGAAAGAAGCAAATCCAGCCCTTCCAAGTGCTCACCACCCGCAAGCGCAAGGTAGCTCCAGCCCGTCGGCTCCCTCTCTCTCTCTCTCTCTCACAGCATGGCTGATGGACGTCGCTTTCTCTGTCTGGCAAAATAGCTGCCAGGTTCCAGCCACCACGCACTCATCCCAAATAGGGAGAAGGGCTCTTTTTCGGCCCGTTAATTCCCTGTGAAGGGACATGTGTCCCCGTGGCCCCCACAGCCTGCACCCCAGCAGACTTCCTGTCTCTTGGCATCCTTTTGGCTGGAATTGCGTCACGAGACACACATCCCCCCTGCTAGCTGCAAGGGAGGTTGGGGAAACAAAGTTCCGGCTGCAGGGAAAGAGGAGGGTATCAGGGCCAGCTGAGCACCGTCCCCTCATTCCTTGCCCCACCCCCAGGACGTGGACGCATCGGAGATCCAGGTGCAGGTGTGTTTGTACGCCTTCGACCTCATCTACCTCAACGGAGAGGTGAGTTCTGGCTTCCTGGGGTGGGGCCGGTGAGCCTGGGAGCCCTCCCGTCAGGGTCTGACCTCAGACTCAGCGCCTTCACTGAGATGGGGGGGGGGGAGCCCCACTGGGGAGGTGGTCTCAAGGTGTGGTCTGAGGATTCCCCACCAGGACAGCAGGACGCCACTACCACGTTTCCAAGGCTCTTCTGTGTCATCTTTCTCCCACTGGGCAGCTAGGGGATTGACTTCTTGGTGAGCGGCCCAGTGCTTGAGGACTCGGTCTCTTGTTCATGACGGTCTCATGCTCCTTTCCACCCCCTCAGTCCCTGGTTCGGGAGCCCCTCTCCCGGCGCCGGCAGCTGCTCCGGGACAACTTCGTGGAGACGGAGGGCGAGTTTGTCTTCGCCACCTCCCTGGACACCAAGGACACGGAGCAGATCGCTGAGTTCCTGGAACAGTCGGTGCAAGGTGAGGGCGCCCCCGCCCAGCCCCTGCCCAGCCCTCACACCCCAGGTGCTCAGTGGGTGGTGCTGGTTCTGACTCTGGGAGTCCCCGTAGCACAGGGTAGAACTGCCCCTGTGGGTTTCCGAGCCCGTAGCTCTTTATAGGAGTAGAAAGCCCCATTGTTCTCCTGCAGGGCGGCTGGGGTTTCAAACTGCTGACCTTGCAGTTAACAGCCCTTTGCCACCAAGATGCCATGCCCTTGGGCTGCCATCACAGAAGCACCACTAGGGAGCGGCTCTGACAAGCACATTAATTTATAGTCTTGCCTTGTGGGCGCCAGCCTGGGGCAGGACCATCTCTGGGCTCCGGAGGATGGAGGTCCCTTGTTTCTCCTCAGTTCCTCACCCTCCTTCCTACATCTCTGCTTGCCTGCCCCAGGTGCCTCATCTTTTTGACCCACACAAAAATATATACCCCTTCTCTAAGGGTATATATTTTTCAAAACAATGATGTGCCTTATTTAAAGCAGCCAAACAACTTTAAAGGTTGTGAGTCGTGTGGTACTTGGAAAGCTGTGTTTGGTTTTGAGCGGTTGGTTTGAGGCACGCCTCCTTAGCATCACCAGCCTTTCCCTCGGTGGGGAGCAGGCACCCCTCACTCGGTTGCTTTTGGCTGGGGGCGCAGTTCAGAGCTAGGATGGTTGTGGTCGCCCTGCATTCCCGTCGGTCTGCTGGCCCCATTTTCCCAGCAGCCTGTGCTCCACGTGTGGCATGCGGTCATCCTCAGGGGGCCTTTCCATCCCAACTGCTACTGCGCACTGCGTCTGCTGGACGGCAGGCTAGCGCAAACGGCGCCCTTTGGAAACCGAAGACCATGCGTGTGACCCAGTGGCGATGTTCACTTCATTGCGGTGGTCTGCAGTGGGCCCCGTGATCCAGCTTGAAGTGTATCTTAACCTGACCTTCAGGTTTTGGGGTCAGGGCGCACAGCATAGTACTTCCAGGGGACACAGTCCAATCCAGAGCAGGTGCCATCCCTCCTGCTCCAGCCGCATGGGAGGGAGGGAGGGAAGGGTGGGGGTCGCTCACGAGAGGCACCCCCTGTGTCTCCTGCAGACTCTTGCGAGGGGCTGATGGTGAAGACCCTGGACGTGGACGCCACCTACGAGATCGCCAAGAGGTCGCACAACTGGCTCAAGGTGACTGGGTCTGGAGAGCCGGGGAAGGAAGAGGGGACCTGGGACCCCGCATCTTGTCTCCCAGCCCCCACACCCCCCACCCGCGGGCGTCTCGGCCTGAGGTCCCAACAGGCAGCCTGTGTCCCGGCTTCATACTCCACCCCTGCCCTGCGTGGGGGCTCTTCTCACACTCCCCGACACCCCTGCTTGTGATGACTCCGAGGAGCTGTCTCCGGAGCCCCCCGAGCTTGCCTTCCAGAAGAGCAGGCTCCCCGAGGTCACAAATGGTCCGGGACCAATTACTGGGCAGGCTCCAAAGACCTCGCTGGCGCGATTCTCCCGCTGACTTGGGGAAGGGCCCCTCATGGTCACCGCAAGGGCGGCCAGTCCAACTGGCCCCTCGGTGCTGCAGAAAAAAGGCCCAATTCTGTCCCCTCCCCGCAGCGGACCCCCAGCAGTTCTATAGCACGTGGGGTCACTGCAACTCGGGTGAGTTTGGGTCAGGCAGTGCGGGGTGGAGGGGCAGCCAGGCCATGGGACTGATGGCGCTGAGCCCCCGCCTGGGGGTCCCGGGGGCTTTGGAGGAGGGAAGCCACACGCCCAGAGCCCCTCCTGGTGCCTTGGGGAGAGGGGCAGGGAGGCTGGTGCAGCGGGCGGAGTGGGGCGGCCACTCCCCTGCTGGCCTTGAAGCCACAGGGCACGGTGCGGACCTGCCCTGCCCGGGACAGAACCACTGTACCCCCAGAGCTGAGCCTTTGGCACCCCATAGGTGCTGAATAAGTGTGTCTCAAGTTGTCTTCTGTGGGGAGCGAGTGTCTGGTCAAGGC